CTGCAGTCACACTCAGTACTTTGGCGTCTGAGAATGACTACCAGACTCTGAAACAAGCAATGTTGGACGCCTACCTTCTCTCCACCGAAAGTTATCGAAGGAAATTCCGTGACCACCTGAAGGCAAGTACCACTACCTTTCTCGAGTTTGCTAACACCAAAAGGAGATATTTTATTAAATGGCTGGAAGCAGCACATGTCTCTACCTTTGCAGAACTCGTCAACCTGATGCTAGTTGAGAATTCTTGAGGCGTGTGCCGCCTCCTGTCCGTCTATATTTAGCAGATAAAGAAGAAACCGACTACCTAAAGTGTGCTAAGTCGGCTGACACTTACAGCCTCATCCACCGGCTGACACCAGAACCATCTTCCAGTAAGAATCGTGGTACAGTTACGAGAAAGTGAGTACCGATCAAGCTGGCTCGCAATTGCACTGTAAGTATTGTAGACTCTATGGACATACCATACATAAATGTGGTAAGTCTCAATACAAAGGAACCACCGAAACGCAAAAACCCAAACCAACTCCTCCTAAGTCCGGTAAGCCTGTGATGAATGTTGGTGTTCATGTTAATGATCTTTCTCTTTTCAGTAAACACCTGTATACTGGAACTGTCTCTGCCAACGGTTCAAATCCGGAGGGACGTTTCAAATTGAAGATCTTGAGGGACACAGTGGCTCTTCAATCGATCATCTTGAAGTCGGCTATGCCCAACATCGCCTACACGGGGAAACTGTCTTCATCACTGACCTCACTGCTACCACTCCTTATCCTCTCGCCAGAGTCCACCTGGATTGTCCCTTCGTGAACGGAGAAGTCCAAGTCGCCGTCAGGGAAAAGCCTTTTCCCATGCCTGGAGTGCAACTTCTCCTGGTCAACGACTTGGCAGAAGACCTGCAACCGACCAACCTGATCGTCATGGACAAACTCCAGGTGTGTACCTCTGTGGCGAATAATCCTATATTTGAGTATGTTCCAGCAAAGGTTCAAGAGAGTGATGAAGTTTCTCCTCCGGTTCTAGTGACCACCCGTGCACAAGCCGCACGACCACAGCCAGCTGACTCTACTGCTACCGCTGTCCCTCAAGACCCTCAGAAACTACCCCCGAATCTGACCAAGTTGGAGTTCCGTAAGTTACAGAGGGAAGATCTTACCTTAACACCATTATTTTTCCAGGCTGAGACTCAACCCGACAGTATTCCTGGGTTCTTCCTAGAGAACGAGTTGCTCTACCGCAGATATAGACCCAGTAAACTGAAGGAGGAGGACGATTGGGCCAAAGTCGAACAAGTTGTGATTCCTGCCAGCCTGCGGCCCACTATTCTACACCTGGCCCACGGAGCACTCTCCCACTACGGATTCAAAAGACCTACCATGGAATCCGTCAAGACTACTACTGGCCAGGTATGGTAAATAGCGTCAAACAGTACGTCAAACAGTGTCATACGTGTCAGATGGCAGGTAAACCGAACATCTCCATTCCCAGAGCGCCACTGATCCCCATACAGGTGCCTGCGGAACCTTTCCACACTTATTATAGACTGTTGGTCCTTTACCTCGGACCAGTTCAGGTAACGCCTATATCTGAACCATCCTGTGTCCTACCACCAGATTCCCCATAGCCGTTCCAGTAAAGAACATTACGGCTGCTACGGTTGTGAAACACTTATTGAAGATCTACACCAAGTATGGATTTCCCAGGGAGGTTCAGAGCGACTGTGGCACCAACTTCACCAGTGATCTCTTCAAAAGGACACTGGAGGACTTCAACATCAAACAGGTATTGTCCAGCCCCTATCATCCTGCTTCACAGGGTTCTCTTGAGCGTAGTCATCAGACTATTAAAGCACTCCTGAAGAAATTTTGTAATGAAACCTCTAAGGATTGTGATAAGCAAATTGATTTGATAATGCATATATATAGAAGTCTTCCCAATGAGTCCCTAGGAGTATCTCCTTATGAGATGCTCTACGGACGTAAGTGCCGTACTCCCCTCAAGGCTTTCAAAGACTCTCTACTTGATGCCACCTTCAGTGAGCATCAGAATGGGCCCCAGTTTCTTCAAAACCTTTAACACATTCTAGAGAGAGTCCACAGTTTTGCCCAAGATAATCTATTGAAAGCACAGGAGAGGATGAAGACTCATTACGACCAGACCAGCAAAGTAAGAAAATTTAAGCCGGGAGACTTCGTACTTGCTTACTTTCCTATCCCAGGTTCTCCTTTACAAACAGGTTTTCAGGACCCTACCGCATCAAGGAGTGCAGAAACAACCATAACTACGTTCTAGAGACTCCAGATAGGCGGCGGAAGACCCAGCTGTGCCACGTCAACCTCCTGAAGCTATATAACGGTACTCCTCCCACTGTCATGCTTAACTACTCTGCTTTTACAGAACCATACATCCACAGTGAGACCTTCCCTGCTTCTCCTCCCGAAAGCACTGACAAGGAGTCAGCGCTTTCTAATTCAGAAATCCTTACTGATCTTCTAAACTATTTTCAGGACAATCATAGTGCACCTGTCGTCAAGATCTTCAGAGAACATCAGGAGTTGTTCCGAGATGACCCCCAAGAGTGTAATGTTACCCAGCACGACATCCAACTGCTCCCCGACACCCGGCCGATTCGTCAACCCTTCTACCGAATCAGCCCTAGCAAGAAGGAAGTCATGCGTGCTGAGGTGCAGTACCTCTTGGATCATGGACTGGCTACACCTTGTGAGTCCCCCTGGGCCTCACCCTGTATCTTGGTGCCAAAATCCCAAGGTAAGGTGAGACTGTGCACTGACTATCGTAAGTTAAATAATGTGACTGTCAAGGATGCATACCCCTTGCCAAGGATAGATGACATTCTTGACGCCATTGGTAATGCCCAGTACTTGTCCCAAGTGGACTTGCTTAAGGGGTATTACCAAGTGTGCTTAACGGAGCGAGCCAAAGAAATATCTGCCTTTATCACTCCATTTGGACTTTTCAGATATGAACGCCTTCCTTTCGGACTATGTAATGCCCCGGCCACCTTTCAGAGAGCTGTCAACCGTGTCATCCAGGGCTTGGATAACACGTACGCCTATTTGGATGATATCGTCGTAGCATCCAACACCTGGAGTGAACATCTGCTCCAGCTGCGACGACTGTTCGCCAAGCTCCTGACAACCGGCCTCACCATCAACCTGGGCAAGTCCACCTTCGCGAAAGGTAAAGTGCATTATCTGGGTCATGTAATTGGGAGTGGCAGCCTAGCTCCGTTAAACTCACACTCAAGCCATCCAACATTATCCACAGCCTACCACCAGGAAGCAGCTCCTGCGCTTCCTTGGTCTTGCCTCCTACTACCGTAGGTTTGTGAGAAATTTCAGTACAGTCGCCACACCTTTAATCCTATTAACCAGTCCCAAGCAACGGTATAAGTAGACCATGCAGCAAACCGTTGCTTTCGAACAACTCAAATTCCTCCTCTGTTCTAATCCCATTCTCGCCTCGCCAGATATCACCAAGCCTTTCGTCCTTCATGTCGACGCCAGTGGTACCAGCGTTGGTGGTGTCCTGATGCAGCAACGAGGCGAGGAGGTTCTACCTGTCAGCTACTACAGCTACAAATTGAAACCCCACCATAGGAACTACAGCACTATTGAAAAGGAGCTACTATCCATCGTCCTGAATCTCCAACACTTCGCTCCATACCTACAAGGTGCCAGGTCTACCACCATCTTCTCAGACCACAACCCTCTCCGCTTCTTACATCAAGCCCAATTCACTAACCAGCGTCTTCTACGATGGGCTTTATACCTACAAGATTTCAACCTGGAGATCCGCTATATCATGGGTTCTGACAACATCATAGCCGATGCCCTCTCCAGAGTTTATGAAGTAGAAGCAACTCCACCTATTACTCCACCACATAATGACGTACTTCTTCCAGAACCGCAGGCTTCGGGGGAGAGTTGTGACGATAATCTCTTTCAAGAGAGATTGAGCCTGCTCTTCCCTTGAAAGTACGTTACATCAACAGATAATATAGAAGATATATCCAGCAAGTATCTCCAAAACGTTTTGCCCAGAGAGAAAAACGTATCCAGCACACCGGCACACCTGCTTGCCACCGTAAACCGGCAAACTGCTTGTCCATCGCCTGCCTGTCGCTGATTGGCTGGTGTCCCGTCGCACCTGCCCTCCACCCTCCGCCACAAGTTGATGTCTGGGCTGCAGCGGCCCAGAGTCGTCAGAATATTCCAGTGCTCCTTGCAGTTGACATCTCTCATTGGTAGACTAAGCCTTGGCTTTCGTGTACTAAGGGAGGTGGCAGCTCGAAGCCAATATTCCGGCATCATCATTATTAATTATTTTGCTATCACTGTAAATCTCTTGTCTTAACGTAACTTTTCATTTGCCAGTGATTATTCTTATTATTTTGTTTGTTGACTTGTCAGTTATATTTTATACTTAATTTTATTCATGTCTTGTTTTTCTAACGTAATTAAAATTTCATTGTTAAATTTACTTGTAATTTGTGTATCTTCCCATTACCTTACCACAGACGAAAGTTCAAGCTTTTCCTCTTTTTTTCTTTAATGTGACGAGGCCCTGCCCCTAGCTTTTGAAACAGCCGAACACCAACGCTTTACCGTCACAATATATATATATATATATATATATATATATATATATATATATATATATATATATATATATATATATATATATATATATATATATATATATATATATATATATATATAACTACTAACAGTACCCGAAGTATAATCCAATCAATATAACAACTACAACAACAACTTGTACTATTAATAATAATAATAATAATAATAATACCATACAAATAACAAAAATTTCTAAACCCTGTTTCGAAATTATGACGAATATATTTTTATCAAAACATTTTAAGGTTATCTAATAATGAAATAATGGTATAAAATTATGTAATTTTATCAAACTGATTTTTTATAGTAATTTCAAAATGAGGACAATTTACACACTGCATTTCCTTATTCCAGGTGATGTGAAACGCGCATCAGAAGACTTATATCCGGGTGGTGACAGCCTCCAGCAGCAGCGCCAGCAGACCCACGACGTGGCCACCAAGCAGCATTAGGAACATACCCTTCAACATCAGATAAAACATTTACAATACTTCTCAATCCTCCTCCCCCAAATTATAATACTATTTCAGCATTATTCCCCTCGTCATTGCGAGTAAGACGTTGCATCATTACCCAGAGGTCAGAAACTGCGAGGGCCGTGTTGACAGTGACCCTTGAGGGCGGGTAGGCACAGGGTGAGGCGCTGGTGCCTGACTCCCCGGTCCAGTACAGATAGAAGCCGGCCTCCATCAGGTCCAGCACTCTGTAAAACAAAAATAAGTTATCTATTTAAAGCTGAAAGAGAGAATGTATGTTTGTCCAAGGTTGGAGGCTAGACGCTTTGGCGTTAGCCTAACCCAACTTTGCAGGGGGAACAGCCTATGGAACGGGACTGACATATGCCCGTCGGGGCCGTCAAGATTCAAGAAGAAATTGTGGTCAAGGGTTCACATTCTGGTCTCCATGACGATTTTGGCACTACCAGAAAATAAATAAATAAAAAAATAAAAAAAATAAATAAATAAATAAATAAATAAAACATTCTTTATGGTAAAATACACCATTATGATCACAGAAAAATTAACATAAATTTTCTGATATTCGTACATCGGCTATAGTAGCATAAAACAGACAGTCCTCCCACAGCTTCAAAGGTTTCGCAGATCCTGCCTTATTCTCAAATCACTTTGGTATATCTGGTTTATCTTTTAATATTTCGCTCTGTCCACTGAGCTCCCGCCAACAGTGAACCACCAATCGCAAATGAAAGGCCAATATATTATTTTTAAGAGAGAGAGAGAGAGAGAGAGAGAGAGAGAGAGAGAGAGAGAGAGAGAGAGAGAGAGAGAGAGAGAGAGAGAGAGAGAGAGAGAGAGAGAGAGAGAGAGAGAGAGAGAGAGAGAGAGAGAGAGAGAGAGAGAGAGAGAGAGAGAGAGAGAGAGAGAGAGAGAGAGAGAGAGAGAGAGAGAGAGAGAGAGAGAGAGAGAGAGAGAGAGAGAGAGAGAGAGAGGGAGAGAGAGAGAGAGGGGGAGACACATTAAGCAACACTGTTCACCCGGAAGTCATGTTAAGGCGCTCACTAAACACATTTAATAACGTCCACTCATTAGGAAATATATAAATATATGTTTTAAGAAATTTAAAAACCACTTATAAAATATAATACAAATAATGCAAACCTTTTGTTGACACTAGGAAGAAGAGGACTGTCCTTCTGCAGGACGAGCGAGTATGGGAAGGCAAAGTACCCTTCCCTAGACTTGTAGAAATCACACCTTCCTGTCAATATACGTAGCTTTGTACAACAACAACAACAACAACAACACACATGCTCATCAAATGTTAATGAAGAAGGCTGGTTCTGAAATGATAATTTTAAGCATTTCCATATTGTCTGTTGCTGAAGTCTCTTTCATTAATCTTTTCGTAACAGTTGATGCTCCTAAAAAAACAGCCATACAAGTACCCATTTTCCTTTTGTTTTGAAGAATTATTAGGTAAGACTTGTTTATGATCATAACTCACTATACAACTCTCAGTAACGGTACCCATTTGGCAGGATGACTCTTCACTTTTTCTAGGTGTTGATTTGTTCCATCAGGTGAAGGCACCATACAACTGCTGCTTCAGGTGAGGGCACCATACTACTGCTGCTTCAGGTGAGGGCACCATACTACTGCTGCTTCAGGTGAGGGCACCATACTACTGCTGCTTCAGGTGAGGGCACCATACTACTGCTGCTTCAGGTGAGGGCACCATACTACTGCTGCTTCAGGTGAGGGCACCATACTACTGCTGCTTCAGGTGAGGGCACCATACTACTGCTGCTTCAGGTGAGGGCACCATACTACTGCTGCTTCAGGTGAGGGCACCATACTACTGCTGCTTCAGGTGAGGGCACCATACTACTGCTGCTTCAGGTGAGGGCACCATACTACTGCTGCTTCAGGTGAGGGCACCATACAACTGCTGCTTCAGGTGAGGGCACCATACTACTACTGCTGCTTCAGGTGAGGGCACCATACTACTGCTGCTTCAGGTGAGGGCACCATACTACTGCTGCTTCAGGTGAGGGCACCATACTACTGCTGCTTCAGGTGAGGGCACCATACAACTGCTGCTTCAGGTGAGGGCACCACACTACTGCTGCTTCAGGTGAGGGCACCATACTACTGCTGCTTCAGGTGAGGGCACCATACTACTGCTGCTTCAGGTGAGGGCACCATACTACTGCTGCTTCAGGTGAAGCACCATACTACTGCTGCTTCAGGTGAAGCACCATACTACTGCTGCTTCAGGTGAAGCACCATACTACTGCTGCTTCAGGTGAGGGCACCATACTACTGCTGCTTCAGGTGAGGGCACCATACTACTGCTGCTTCAGGTGAAGCACCATACTACTGCTGCTTCAGGTGAAGCACCATACTACTGCTGCTTCAGGTGAAGGCACCATACAACTGCTGCTTCAGGTGAGGGCACCATACTACTGCTGCTTCAGGTGAGGGCACCATACTACTGCTGCTTCAGGTGAGGGCACCATACTACTGCTGCTTCAGGTGAGGGCACCATACAACTGCTGCTTCAGGTGAGGGCACCATACTACTGCTGCTTCAGGTGAGGGCACCATACTACTGCTGCTTCAGGTGAAGCACCATACTACTGCTGCTTCAGGTGAGGGCACCATACAACTGCTGCTTCAGGTGAGGGCACCATACTACTGCTGCTTCAGGTGAGGGCACCATACTACTGCTGCTTCAGGTGAAGCACCATACTACTGCTGCTTCAGGTGAGGGGCACCACACTACTGCTGCTTCAGGTGAAGGCACCATACAACTGCTGCTTCAGGTGAGGGCACCATACTACTGCTGCTTCAGGTGAGGGCACCATACTACTGCTGCTTCAGGTGAGGGCACCATACTACTGCTGCTTCAGGTGAAGCACCATACTACTGCTGCTTCAGGTGAAGCACCATACTACTGCTGCTTCAGGTGAGGGCACCATACTACTGCTGCTTCAGGTGAGGGCACCACACTACTGCTGCTTCAGGTGAAGCACCATACTACTGCTGCTTCAGGTGAAGGCACCATACAACTGCTGCTTCAGGTGAGGGCACCATACTACTGCTGCTTCAGGTGAAGGCACCATACAACTGCTGCTTCAGGTGAGGGCACCATACTACTGCTGCTTCAGGTAAGGGCACCATACTACTGCTGCTTCAGGTGAGGGCACCATACTACTGCTGCTTCAGGTGAGGGCACCATACTACTGCTGCTTCAGGTGAGGGCACCACACTACTGCTGCTTCAGGTGAGGGCACCACACTACTGCTGCTTCAGGTGAGGGCACCACACTACTGCTGCTTCAGGTGAGGGCACCACACTACTGCTACTTCAACTGAGGGCACCACAATACTGCTGCTTCAGGTGAGGGCACCACACTACTGCTGCTTCAGGTGAACATGCTGCATTATGGTCTTGCTAAACATAATATTGTTTGCTCACACCGCCTCAGCGCTTTCTTCTGCTAACTACCGTCGCTCACGGTAGCGTACCTGTGCGCAGGAAATCATCAACCATAAGGTTGATGAGACTGGCGTCATTGTCGAGGAGGACGTGGTCTCCGCGCCTGACCAGGGTATCGAGGGCAGCCAGGATCTGGGAGTGTGGTCTCCGGACCACCCGCGCCCTAGTCTCCAGGTCTCCAACCTTGTGGTAGATGCCCGATGTTGACGTCTTCGCAGGATTCAGCAAGTTAAGAAGGTCAGGTTCCGTCATGAAGCATTCATTGAGAATATTTTTGTTAGTTCTTGAAACAAAATATGTATATCAATATATATATATATACTACAAGACGATAGCGTATAGTGGCGTACTCGAAAATAGTTTTCATATATGGTGTTAGCTTTCCATATCATTTTGACTGAGGGGTCGTGCACAACGTCTTCGAGGGTCTGGTAGGGATGAGGAATGTATCTGACGGCCAGGAGAGCCAAGAGGTTGCCCGAGTAGCTCCGTGATAGTACCAGCATCACCATCATCCACACCAGCATCACCATCCTCTCCCACCACCACTCATCCGATCTGCTCAAGTCTAAAAATACAGCTCAAGTTATATAATGGTGTAACCTTGTATAATATATATCATAATAATAAAAAGAGGTGGTAAGAGAATAAAATACTCATGCGTATTTAGAAACAAAAGACAAGAATTTCCTTTATATGCTCATTATTCTCTTCCCAGAGGCTATGCGTCCTCCTAATTGCACCAGTAGTGGTACCGATGTATTCGCATAATATTAATACTATGGAGAAGGTGCCAGAGGTTACCTACCCTGTTGTAATAATACGCGAATATAGTTGAAGGTTTTTGAAAACCAAAGATGTGCATCAGCGATCTCATGAGAGGAGCAGGAGCTTAAAAGAGACACTGTCAGAGACATCACCAGCAGCGAGGTCAGGATGGCCGCCCACACCAGGGGCGTGAAGGGCAACAAGAAACCCCACGGGTCCACCTCCGGCCGCCCTCGACCTCCCAGGATCTTCGACAATCCAATGTGTATTGGCCACGAGAAGTCGACCACTTCAAGACGACTGAAACTCACAGCGAAGGGACCTAACGCGATATCTGCTTCCTGCGGTGATACGGAAAGACTTTTTTTATCAATAAGCAAAAACCAAAATAGTAAATGTTATCGCTATGGATTATATCTCGAAAACTGCCTTTTTTCTAAACAGTATTTTGAAACTCATTAAAACATTGCGTAAATAATTTTTTATAAAAGGGAATTATGTAATCTCATGGAAAATATTTTCATTTCCGCCTTAATTACATTTTTGCGTAAAATCATGTGCTTTTCACTTAAGGAATATTTATACTGGATACAACACACAAGCGTGTGAGTCCACTATCTCGTATGTCACTGCATGGGAGGTCTCGTGCTTGGGACGGTAATCTGGTCTCGTGTTTGGGACGGTAATCTGGTCTCGTGCTTGGGACGGTAATCTGGTCTCGTGTTTGGGACGGTAATCTGGTCTCGTGTTTGGGACGGTAATCTGGTCTCGTGCTTGGGACGGTAATCTGGTCTCGTGTTTGGGACGGTAATCTGGTCTCGTGTTTGGGACGGTAATCTGGTCTCGCTCGTGTTTGGGACGGTAATCTGGTCTCGTGCTTGGGACGGTAATCTGGTCTCGTGTTTGGGACGGTAATCTGGTCTCGTGTTTGGGACGGTAATCTGGTCTCGTGTTTGGGACGGTAATCTGGTCTCGTGTTTGGGACGGTAATCTGGTCTCGTGTTTGGGACGGTAATCTGGTCTCGTGTTTGGGACGGTAATCTGGTCTCGTGTTTGGGACGGTAATCTGGTCTCGTGTTTGGGACGGTAATCTGGTCTCGTGTTTGGGACGGTAATCTGGTTTCGTGCTTGGGACGGTAATCTGGTCTCGTGTTTGGGACGGTAATCTGGTTTCGTATTTGGGACGGTAATGAGGTCATGAGCTCAGTTTTATAAGGTGTTTCATCATACTCCATCTCTTGTGTGCCTCACCTAGCACCATCATCTCTTGTGTGCCTCACCTAGCACCATCATCTCTTGTGTGCCTCACCTAGCACCATCATCTCTTGTGTGCCTCACCTAGCACCATCATCTCTTGTGTGCCTCACCTAACACCATCATCTCTTGTGTGCCTCACCTAACACCATCATCTCTCTGTGTGCCTCACCTAGCACCATCATCTCTTGTGTGCCTCACCTAACACCATCATCTCTCTGTGTGCCTCACCTAGCACCATCATCTCTTGTGTGCCTCACCTAACACCATCATCTCTCGTGTGCCTCACCTAGCACCATCATCTCTTTTTGTGCCTCACCTAACACCATCATCTCTTGTGTGCCTCACCTAACACCATCATCTCTCTGTGTGCCTCACCTAACACCATCATCTCTCTGTGTGCCTCACCTAACACCATCATCTCTCTGTGTGCCTCACCTAACACCATCATCTCTTTGTTCCTCACCTAACACCATCATCTCTTGTGTGCCTCACCTAGCACCATCATCTCTTGTGTGCCTCACCTAGCACCATCATCTCTTGTGTTCCTCACCTAGCACCATCATCTCTTTTTGTGCCTCACCTAGCACCATCATCTCTTGTGTGCCTCACCTAACACCATCATCTCTCTGTGTGCCTCACCTAACACCATCATCTCTCTGTGTGCCTCACCTAGCACCATCATCTCTCGTGTGCCTCACCTAGCACCATCATCTCTCTGTGTGCCTGAGCATAGTGATCAGGAGCAACTCACCTTCCTGATGACCCTGTTCAACATGGTGCCAAAATTACCATCATGCTCCCGTATGTAAGTATACCTGTTGGAAATAGTAAACATTAACATTGTTTACTTACCAATAAACAAAGCCAAGTACGCCAAACACAGTTTACAGTTATTTGTCATATATTGATGATAGTTAACTTGAGTAAAAACAGAATGTCTGTTTGTTTCTCTTTCTGTTTCTCCAAAGTTGTAGGCCAATTGCTTGGGGCAAGCCTGGGGATGGGTAGATAGAGGTATGGATAGATATGGGGAACGATAAATGGATAGATGGATGGATAGATGGATGAATAGATGGATACATATATGAGCGGATAGATAGATAGATTGATAGATAGATAGATAGATAGATAGATAGATAGATAGATAGATAGATAGATAGATAGATAGATAGATAGATAGATAGATAGATAGATAGATAGATAGATAGATAGATAGATAGATAGGCAGATATATGGATGACAGACAGACTGACCCGGGCAAAGCTGGTTAACTCCCAGTGTTGTTTGCTTCTATAAATGAATCACAATGTCCTCTTTTTGCCTTATTTCAAATATTTATGCAACGATTTGTTGGCCTTAATTTCCTTCAAATCATGAGATATTAAGAGATGTTGATGTTAAATGTTTAACATTTTAAACATTAAATGAATGTTAACACGTTCACTGAACGTTAATATAACGTTATAAACGTTATAACGTTATAAACGTTATAACGTTATAAACGTTATAACGTTATAAACGTTATAACTTTATAAACGTTATAATGTTATAAAAAAAACGCTATTGACGTTGATTCAACGTCTATTGCTTTTTTGCACCTGGAGTGCTCAGGATTGGGATATCCGTCACCTGTAGCCACCTGCCACAGGTAACGGTAACCCAACCTGAGTCTGGCAACCACTGTGTTGCACACTTTGGTGGACGTTTTGTGCTGCTATAAACATAGCTTTCAGAATTGAACATATAGATTTTATACTAATGCTTTCAGGCCGCTGGAAGTCAGTAATTTCTTTCCTTTCGGATCAGTGTTTGGAACAATACAGTTTTGACAGCAGAGATGTAGATACCTAGATCTAATTCAACTTTATCTTTGTTACACGCTAATTTGGCTGCAATGTCTGTCTCATTATGATTGGTTATATATATGTGTGATGGTATTCATACAAAGGAGTTTTGAAATTCCTTTACTCTGTGTAGCGATTAGGTCATTTATAATTGGTAGTATGAGGTTCTTGCTGTCAATCTTCCAGGAGAAGTTTTCGATTGCTTGAAGAGCAGATTTTGAATCACAAAATATTTTTCCTCCTCCAATGTTTTTTAATGTACTGGTAGCTAGTTGTAGTGCCGCTAGTTCTATTTGTGCGGAGGTCTGCCAGTTGCTTAACTTGACACTGGGAGTCTGTGTGCAAATATTATTTCTATAAAACCCACATGCTTCTGCAGTCCGTCCAGTAGAAGATTGGACTGAGTCGTCGGTGTAGACACAGTGCTCGTGAGATCTTAAATTTTCGATGGAGAAGGCATTTGTTTTAAGTGTGACAGCTTTGAGAAGTGCAAGAGTTTCATTACCTTTCTTGGAGACAGGTGTGTATGATACTTGAATGGTGGGGTACAGATAAAGAGGAATATCAGAGACAGGTAGATTGCACTTAAAAGGAATGTTGAGTTTGATGAGATTGTAGACATTTTTTCTCAGCCATTTATCATAAAAGGAGTGAGTCGGTTTGTTGGTTAACACCAGTCAATAGGGTGTTAACAGCACTGAATAATTTGTCTCTGAGCAATGCAGGAGATGTAGGATCTGTCATGACGTTAAGGCAAAAGGTCGTGTTGACTTGCATGATTCTCTTTAGTATGGTTGGTAGTTTCAGTTCTTCCCTCATGTTGATGATTCATGTGCATCTTGGGACACCAAGAATTATCCTCATAGCCTTCATCTTTACTACTTCAAGTTTGACCAATACAGAGGCGGGGAAGTTAAGTAGTTACAAAGCATGATAATCAATTAGCGCTCTAACGAACATCATATAGAACAATCTAGCATATTTAATATTGATACCAATATTCTTACCAGTTAGTGTTTTTAGTGGTTTAAGTCTTTCTTTTAATCTACGATGTAGATCGTTTACTATGTCACTGTGATACCAACTCCAAGGTATTTGACACGTTTCAATGTTCTGGTTGTTGACTTTGAAAGTCAGAGGGACATGAGTTTTCTTTTGCCAATGGAGAACTTTGGATTTAGTTATAGAGATAACTAGACCACATTCAATGCTTTTAGCAGCGAATGAATCAAGTAGAGCTTGCAGTCTAGTTTGAGTATTTGCAACAATGCATATGTCATCGGCATGACAGATGACTTCTTTGTCAGGTAGTGTGGGAATATCAATTGTTAATTTGTGCATCAGAACATTGAACAGTGTAGGGCTTAGCACACCACCCTGGGGTGTACTCAACTCGAAGGGTGCACAATGTTTACCTCTGACCCCCTTGAAAAGGACTGAGGAGGTTCTGTTACTCAGGTAACCCCTGAGCCATGTCAGCAGTCTTCCCTTAACTCCAAAAGAGGCTAGTTATTTTAAGATTATTTCTCTGTGTGCTGTATCAAAAGCAGTTTGGAAATCAATAAATGCCACCTGAGAGCTTGGTCCCTCTCTAATAAAATATTCAGAAAATCAAGTTTGTGTGATTCTTCCAAGAAGAAAACCATACACGTTAGGAGCATGATAAGGTAATTGCAAAGATGAAAACACTTTATGGACAATCAAAATCACATTTCAAAACTCAAAGGACTGGATAGTTTCGCGTTGAGAGAGAATCATTCTTAATTATTCTACTACTTCATTGGAGTAGACCCCATGCACCCTATGACTCGCCATAGAATAACAATTTACAAAGGAAACGGTCACGAGGCAAACTGCAGCCCTCTGCTTCCCAATTTAGAACCACCTTTGCACATACAAATCTGAGCACCTAAGGACTGTCATGGGCCCATATATAGACTTAAAACCACCATCTAACGCTTACCTCTCCAGATCCAATTTACTAATACAGATAATTTTTCAAAGCTTCTTTAAATAATATATTACATAGTGGAAAATGCATCTACAATGAATATAAGTTTTTGTGTTTGAGAATAAAAATATATTTCTTCGAAGTTAAGAATACTTCTATATATAATTTTTGTATATGTGAAGGCATGTAAAGGGGTCCGAATACTAAACATATTATGTAACGTACGAAAAGTTGATAGCTTGAGCAAGGTAGTCGAGGACGCTCGCTGCGGGCCCCCTGAAGACCAGCCTCTTGCCATCGGGCGCACCAGGGTCGTCGACCAGCTCCTCCGTCTGACCCGGGTACACCTCCCCTGCCACTACTAACGTCGGGTGATGAAGGAGTCTGTCAAATATAATAATGCCATTATAGTAAATGTGTGAATGGTTAGGGTTTGCGCCCGGGGATAATGTCATTTTAATAGTATGAGCAAGACAGATCTCAGTCGTAACTCCTAGAATTAAGGGCGGTTATTATCTTGAATATATGTGAATCCAGCTATTTTTTAACTGATGTGAGTTATCAGGAATGAGCTTCAGTCAGTCATTAAGGATGTGTAGTGTTAACGCATCACACATCTTTGGCCTTGAGTGACGGGAGTTACAGGCAAACAACGGAGGCACTATGTTAAAGATACTGTAATTCCTCGCCGCGGTACTGTAACTCTTCACTCCCCTCTACTTGGGTGCCACTATCTACCAAGGGAGCTTTCCAAGTCTTGCCTCAAGTCCAGTCTCTGTCCACTGCTTGACTTTGGATCCAAGGAGGAGAGGAGAAGGCCCAGCTCACACTGCAGGTCCTCGACCCTACTGCGTGAAACAACTTCACCGGGCCTGCCCACTGAAACATGTACAAAATGGATGCCGAACCCTCCTGCCTTACCTGAATTCTTTTCCCTCTTCTCACTGGTCCCCTGCTGGGTAAGTCGTCTTCGTGTCCCAGCAATGCTTTGGTTCAAATTGATATAATATTGCCACTCAGGGATTACCTCTATTACTATTACTGTTAGTGTGGTGCAATCTAGTGTCACTTTTCCATAATATTGCTCAAATGAAATGGAGGGCTCACAGAAAATCATAAGTAAAATCAACCAAATTTACTGAAGAAAAGTCTACATGGAACATATAAACAAAATTGACATAGAATATGTATACTGAAGCCTGCAGCGCTTCTCTGGATGCCGTTAGCAACTCAAATCAGCTGAGCGGGTTTAAAGGGATCACAACCTACCTTTTTGTGCGGCTCCCATCGTCAAAGACACATATTCCTCATGGCTCTGCTACACACACCACTTGCTAAGTTCACCAGGTAGTAGATAATAAATTTCTGCTGACCTACTCCCATAAATCAATAGACACACTAATAAATATCTATATTTATATTACTATGCCTATCTCGCCTAAATACCAAGGGAATATGGGAGGGAAAATTTATCTTCCTTATCACACCCTGCTCTCATATGCCTGGACTCCAACGGTCGAAGTGGTCCATGGTTCCTAGGTCGCTCCTCTGCGTTCTGGTCGAGTGTCACAGGTCCCCAGGCATCGTGAAGCTATGCGTCATCACCGTCCTCATTACCAAATTTGCAGTTTCTCCAAGCTGGCCCCAGTCAGTGGTCCACGGTTCCTAGGTCGCTCCTCGGCGTTTTGGTCGCATGTCACAGGTCCCCCTGGCGTCGTGAAGCTATGCATCATCACCGTCCTCATTACTAAATTTGCAGTTCCTCCAGCGGCCCAGACAGTGGTCCCTGTGCTCGTCATCTCGCTCACTCGCTCCTTCACTGAGACCAAATACTCGTAGATCTGGACGTGATGTATTCCTTCCGAGTTCCCAGTTGTTACGACCTTGGGTTCCTTAGTTGAAAACCAGAGGTCAAATTGAGCTCTAAATAAGTACTTTACATTATTTGATAGGATTGCTGATGCGTTTTTGTTCCTATCTTCCTTGCCAGACGTAAGACGAATCTTGTTTCTCATAGAGCATTCAGACTCTGGGCTTGTTGTTGATTATTCAACACTGAACTAGTTATCAACTATTCTTAGAACTATTAAAGTAACCAGTTTTGTACGTCGGTGAAGATTTGTAATGTTTATAAGCTGCACGATCAGCTGGTTATCTTTCCGGCAACAACAACTGGAGAGAGCTCAGACTGGAGGCTCCTTCGGCCTTGTCTGGACTGCTGTGGTTTAGTCAACACCTCTCCTGTGTGGCTCTGTCTCTTCCTCTTCCCTTACCTTATCCTGTGTCTAGTTTACAAAGCTAAGTACCATGTTGCATGTACGTTTTCTGGCATAAGCGTGTAGTAATGTGTATAGGCTATGGTAGTGTTTATATTGCTAAGTCACTCTAAGGGGTCTCAGTAGAACCACGTGTGCTCAAGTGGTACCAAGCTACCTAGAGTCCTTGCTGGTGTCCCTTGCCTAGTAGACTTTACCCTAGCTTGTCCCAAGTGTAAGCCTTGTATCCTGTCTATGTGGACCAAGGTAGTTAACATAAAATAGTGTGGTAAAGTAGTTATTGTTATTGCTGTTAATGTATATGGGGGTTGTTAAGAGGGTTTAATAAATAAGTTAGTTTTTAAAGGAGTATCCATACTTCCTGTGTAGAGGATCAGTGATCAACCTCTAGACTGAGGTATTTACTTTAAGCCACTACTTTAATATGGTTTTATGTTCTTATTGGGGGCCGGGCCTATCTGATCTCCACTAATTTCGAAACATCCTGATTCTAGCTGTTTGCCCTTCTCTTTATTTAATACTCTATACCCCCCGTAACAAGTAAGCAAATTCATAACACCAGTAGACGTGACCCCGGTCACAGCAGCTCTGAATACATCGTGGTGTCTGTTTGCGGAGAACTACTCACTGCTCCGGCCGCGTCGCCACTCCCATCTCCACCCAAGACTAACAGCTCACAGTCCACAATGCCCCTTTCACCGCTGGGACTCGGCTTCCTTGTGTTTCTGACGAGTACAATCGTCTTCTACAGTCTCTATGGGATGTGTCAGGCTGCTGTAATCCACTCGACGAGGCTCCAATATCTTCGAACTCCGGAGCTCACTGGCGCACATCTGCTCTCGATGAAGTGCCATGAATCTCTATGTACGCCTGGGGCTCTGCAATCCCTCAGCCTCCCCTGCCTGGTGACATCACAGACCTAGGGGCAGGCTCTCATTAGTCATACTCGTCACGTGACCCCGGCTAGCCAATCACCAGACGGCTGGCACCTTCACATTTTGGCGCACTTTTGGTCGGCCTGTCGCCCTCTTGTATGCACTAAAAGCGTAAGCCCCTTTGTAAGGGTATTTCAGTTTTCCTTTGTTCAATTGTCAATTGTTCCTTTGGTACAGGCCTCAGAACAATAGTAGTGCTTGTTGTAATTTCTGTTTGCTATGAGCAGAGATTGAAAGCGTTAGACTAGAAAAAGGCAAATATATAGCAGTGTCTTCCTGCTATAATTAATGTATATGAAATATTGCACTAATGTTATATATATAGATCAGGATCTTATATCTATATGCTAAGGACCTACTGGTTAACTGATATAATCATCCGGTTCGAAGGACCAAACAATGTGGGAAAACTCCAGGCAGCTACTCTCTTTTTTAAATTGACTTTAATAAGTTAAAGTTTTATCTTATTTATTTTCTTAGTGAATAAGTAATTAATTGAGTGAACTGTATGTACTTGATTAACCCTTAAAGTGCGCATTACATCATATGACTTGTTGGAGTACTACGCAAGATTTACACAGCCCGCGGATACACGGGGTTCACCACACCTTCATCAGGACTCTTATAAAAAGACGCCATTTTTTTTTTAAATCGTGGGCCAAACTCCCGGGTGTTATTGGCCTCAGTATTGAGTGAGCTACCATGCCTGACGCACGCAGCATGAGCTAACAGCACTGCTGTTCAGCTTGTGACCACAGCATCTCCTAAAAAAGCCATAATATACTTGTTCATGCTATAATGTAGCGATGAAAATTAAGGACTTGAATTTAATTAATTAATAATTCCTTAATAAAGGTTCCCTAAACATATAATTACAGATATGACATGGAATATGAGGGTGTTAAATTGTGTACACGTACTTTTGTTGGGGTTCTTCATGCAAATAACCAGCTACCTACCTATTATTAAAAAGATGCATCCATTTAAAACAGAATACTGGCAGTCGGATACTTAATTTGCTGTAGTTGTTGAGAGGCTGTGTTGCTGGCTGTTGACACGTAATCTGGGTGTCTAACGAGTTAAATCAGCTTCTGGAGCTCTCTACAGCATGGTTGTTGTTGATGATGTTCTGGTGTAAGTGACGCTACCTCCCTGCATGTTTTGGTTTTACTTCTGAACTTTATTTTACATTAACAAGTGAGTCAAGCTATATTTTGGTGTTAGTAATTATATTCAGTCTTATTGAACACTTTTTTTATTCAATTTAGACACTAGACTGTTACCCACAGTCTAGTGTCACAGTCAATAAACAGTATTATATTAATGTAAATATACGTGTCGTCGATGACGTCACGGGATCACCCATTCTCTATTCTTAAGGGGATACTATGTTATTATGTGTGTCGGATTTCCGACAAGGACAAGGGGAAGTGGGAGATGGTGAGGAGGATGAGGGGACAGTGGAGTGGGTAATGGAGGGGAGGACGAGGGGACGGTGGAAAGGGGGTATGGTAGGGAGGAGAAGGGAATGGTGGGCGGGGAATGGTAAGGAGGACGAGGGGATGGGGGAATGACGAATGGTTGGGAGGACGAGGGGATGGGGGAGGGGGGAATGGTGGGTTGGACTAGGAGACAGGGGAAGATTGCAATAAAAGTCTGCCTGTCTGTCCTATATAGAAAGCCAGAGGCTTGGGGCTAGCCTCACCAAACTTTCCAAAATGGCATATAGAGGGGTAGGGGGTGTGAATGTCATTGACTAGTCTGGGTCGGCTTCAGTGCCACCCAGACTGGTGGGTGCCTTCATTGTAGCGGGACCAAAGAGCCAGAGCTCAATCCCCGCAAACACAACTAGGTGAGTACCCGTTACGAAATGTAGGCATCTACAGGAACCCTCTGCGATGTTTATAAAATCTGATATGGGGAATGTGTTTTACATAGAGGTGTTAACAGTTTTTTCAGTGCTTCACAATATTATAATATTTGAGAGCGCAAGGAAAGAGGAGACAGGGGGATGTTATGTGAGGGGGGGGGGGAGAAAGAAAAGGTGGGGGAGGTTAGAGTGGAGATGAAGGGGTAGACTGGGAGAGAACAGGGAGTGGGTGGAGGGAGAGAGGGGGAAAGGGGGAATGCTGAGCAAAATGGGAGTAAAGTGGAGAGGATAGAGGAAGGGGGGAGGAGAGGGGAGGATAGGGGAAAAAGATGAAAGGCAGGATTGGGAGAAATTAGGGAGAGTGGAAAAGACAGGGGACCAGTAGAGGTGAAGGAAAGAGACCCCCGGGCACCTCCAGGTACCCCATCTATTAATGAATGAATGAATCAAGAAAAACTCAAAATTTAATAAATTTGAACCAATCCCATCCATTTACTTTGTAATTTCAACTTTTAGTGCCCAAAACATGAAATATACAAACAAATACAAAAACAATTAACATATTTACAAAATTAAAATTTAATAACACAAGATATTCAATAAATTTACAGAATGAGTAATCCATAATGCAAAAATTTGCTTTACAAATTAAAATGTACTTGCCTCTAGTAACACATAATAATATTATAAAAATAAAAATACTAAAATACCGAAACTTTTCCTAAGTTTATTAATTTGCTTAGAGTCGGCTCTTTCAAGGAAAATTTAGCATTCATATTTTGTCAGTTCATTCAAGACTATTTAACCGGAAAATACAAACCATTTCCGGATGACTTGGAAATAACATGTAACATTAACGTTAACATGATAGTCAGCCCAAGTTGTGTCCTCACGTCTGTCCCCAACACTGCACAAAGAATTCTGAACAGACTTTCATTTAATTTCGTGTTTTCTAAAAATCGTTATTAGATGTGTAGATCTAATCAAACTCATACTCACCTGGAGAACTTGTCTGGGAAGAGCGGGAGACTGGAGGTGAGGGCTAGGCCTTGGTGGGGCGTCCAGGAGGCCACCTTCAGCGCCTGGGCTCCCCTGGGACTGTACGGCAGCTGGATGTACACACTGCACCTGTACAGCGACCGACGTTCAGTATTATCAATATACATTGAGCACGAATTAACATCTATCAATATTAAGTTATACCATTATCTACACATTCAGAGCACGACAATAATTGTTACCGTTGACTTTTCGAGTCATTTTCCACAACGAGCAGCATGGAGTTGGTCACGGAGAGCAGTGTGTGGAGAACCTGAAGGTGGTGGAGCGGGAGGCGGGTGAGGACCAGGAGCCTCGTCGACCACACCAGGAGGCGGCCCTTGAGGGACCACTGGGCGAAGGCGGCGAGGAAGGCGAGGTCGTCGCTCACCACCACCACCGTCACGCACCATGACACCTGCCGCACCTGTTGACGTCAACATGGTAGACGTTATGTGAGAGTGACCTACCCGCCTCAGTAGTGATGTGAGAGTGACCTACCCGCCTCAGTAGTGATGTGAGAGTGACCTACCCGCCTCAGTAGTGATGTGAGAGTGACCTACCCGCCTCAGTAGTGATGTGAGAGTGACCTACCCGCCTCAGTAGTGATGTGAGAGTGACCTACCCGCCTCAGTAGTGATGTGAGAGTGACCTACCCGCCTTAGTAGTGATGTGAGAGTGACCTACCCGCCTCAGTAGTGATGTGAGAGTGACCTAGCCGCCTCAGTAGTGATGTGAGAGTGACCTACCCGCCTCAGTAGTGATGTGAGAGTGACCTACCCGCCTCAGTAGTGATGTGAGAGTGACCTACCCGCCTCAGTAGTGATGTGAGAGTGACCTAGCCGCCTCAGTAGTGATGTTAGTGACCTACCCACCTCAGTAGTGATGTTAGTGACCTACCCGTCTCAGTAGTGATGTAAGAGTGACCTACCCACCTCAGTAGTGATGTTAGTGACCTACCCGTCTCAGTAGTGATGTGAGAGTGACCTACCTGCCTCAGTAGTGATGTGAGAGTGATTTTCCCGCCTCAGTAGTGATGTGAGAGTGACCTACCCGCCTCAGTAGTAATGTGAGAGTGACCTACCCGCCTCAGTAGTAATGTGAGAGTGACCTACCCGCCTCAGTAGTAATGTGAGAGTGACCTACCCGCCTCAGTAGTAATGTGAGAGTGACCTACCCGCCTCAGTAGTAATGTGAGAGTGACCTACCCGCCTCAACAGTAATGTGAGAGTGACCTACCCGTAGAGCCACGCCGAGCACCTTGGAAACTTGCATTAGCGTCAAGTTTGCGTTCTGGCCGACCGCTGACACCTCCAACACTGTCACACCCGGTAACATGTGGCTCTCTCGTGTTACCTAAATTGGATCGACTGTTACTTGAATGTAGCCACCTCCCCTCCAAAACAAAAAAAATATACAATCAAGACTAATGTCAAATTGTCGTGTTTATACATGATCACAATAAGCCAAATGTAGGTACCGAGGCTATGAATGAAGTAGAGAGGCCTCCATCAGCGAAGACTACCACAGAGCAGAGAGGTTGTGGTTCATTCTCCATCACTTCTCTCACAGCGCTTGATGCAGGTGTTAGCGCATCAGCATTTTCTGGAATAATAGTTTCCTCTGCAAATAACTGTGAATATGCACAATGCAGTCATGGGAGCTTGATGTGTCTGAGAAGGGATTGTGACAATGCGAGTCTACATGATTCTGTCGCACTGCGGGTGTCCGGAGAGTCCGGGGAGGCGAGGTCCATCCCATTATTTGGCCACAATATTTTGTCAATTGAGTACATGTTATGGCAACCATGAGTAGAGGACGCAAGGCATGGCAGGGAGCGCTGGAAGGCTTACCAGAGGGGCGACGCAGATGTGCGACAACCACAAGTGTTGGCAGAACCGTCACCAGCAGCCCCCACGACCTTACCGTTATCAGCATTCTTGTATCTCAACAGGTCTCTGAAGACACAGGAAACAGTGCTGTGAAAATAGAATTATTATTATTAATATTATTACATTAGATTGTTTTGAAGTAAGTTATATTAATATTTAATGCTGATTAAATAGCCTTCATTTCCAGGAGCTATTCATTGTCTAAGTGACTGTATAATTTGACTGCTAGCGGGTCTTCTAGAGGATAGCAATATTCAACATATTACGTGATATCTTCTAATGCTCTGATCGTTGTAACACAACATTAAATTGGAGGAAGCTGAAGAAGGCCTATTGGACAATAAAAGGCATTTCCAATATGTACCCAAACGAACTCATTCATATATATACTTGACATTTGGTTGAAACAAACCAGTGATTCCCTCTCGACTACGTTATCAAGAATGTTACCTTGAGGTTACCTTGTTCTTACAAAAATTACACAACTTTATTTCCAAACCTTTATTTACTATTTTTTTATGGAATCTAATCTAAACCAATTTATTCTTTATTTCTTTTCTATTTCGTATTGATGTAATAAGCAACCCCATTAATATCCTCTCATTACCTTCATTTGTATTAAGCTGAAGAAAAGCATTGGAGGTTTAACTGTTAACGATTTTTTATATGAATTTCATTATTTTTTTGCGGTATTTCAAACAGTTATATATGTATATTGCTTATTTTGCAAAAGGTCCTAACTAAACGTAACTGTTTACATTCAGATTTATCAATTTTGGCGTTGTTTATCATATATTACTAAACAATCATCAATTACTCTTTTATTCCTATACTACTCTATTATCATAAATTATTAAATTTGCATGCATGACCATCATAATCTTGTTACTGTTTACTTTAAACTACATCTCTCAATCTTTGGTCACTTCCCAGCCTATTTGGCTTAATCAGGATCTATCTTGTAAACAATGAAGAATCTAAGTCATATCTCTGTGGCTCTCAATTTGCAATGGTTGTCTCTTTGACTCCATCTCTGCGAACACTGTGTTGCCTTTGACCTGTGCCCCAGTCTAGCCTCCTCTACGCCATGATACAGTGCTCCTGTACCAGATTAGTGAACCTTTTGTGAAGGATAGTTTCTTAAACTCTGCTAGAGTTAGGGAATATTATGATGCTGTCAACTGATTGATATATGCTGTTAAAGGAACAAACACAAATTTGTTAGACTCAAGCGGGTCATAGCAAAACCAGTTTGACAATGATCTATTAGCGTATTATTTGAGGTACCGGTTGTACACACACAGGTCTTTGTGTGTGTCCGTCTCTCTCTGGCTCTGTCTGTTTGTCTGTCTGTCTGCCTGTCTGTCTGTCTGTCTTTCACCCACCGTCCCTCCCATTCTCTGTCCGCCCCTCCCTCCCTACCGTTCTCAGCGTGCAAAGTTGTGCTGGGTAACTGCAAACGTGTGACCTACAACCTCGGGCTTCTCAGCACTGCCAGGAGTACCTAGTGATGCTCGGGTGACAGAGATTACATCTTCGCTTCGGTCTTATCACTGTAACCATCTTCACAACGCACTGTCTTCATCACTGCAACCATCTTCACTACTCATTACTATATAAATTTTCACTAAAAATTATCATCAATAACCGTGTTCATTAATGATCACGATGATCGTCATCCTCACAGACGATCGCTATCTTCATATCACTGTAACATGACTGTTACATGGTTATCACTGTAACTATCTTCACTACACGCAACCTACAAAAGTGTAACTTTCTACACACGACAATCTTCATCAATGTAACCATCTTCACTAAATACTTCTTCATCAGTGTAATCACCATCACTATTCGGGCACTGCTAGGTTCCCCCATCTATAACCTTCCCTCTCTTTCATCATCTTCCCTACCCTTCACTATCTTCCCTACCCTTCACTATCTTCCCTACCCTTCATTATCTTCCCTACCCTTCATTATCTTCCTTACAGTTCACCATCTTCCCTACCCTTCACTATCTTCCCTACCCTTCATTATATTCCCTACCCTTCATTATCTTCCCTACAGTTCACCATCTTCCCTACCCTTCACCATCTTCCCTACACTTCACTATCTTCCCTACCCTTCACCATCTTCCATACCCCTTCACTATCTTCCCTACCCTTCACCACCTTCCCTACTTCTCCCCATTTTCCTTACCCTTCATCACCTTCCCTACCTTTCTCCACCTTCTCTTCTCCTCACCACCATCCCTACCCTACACCATCTTCCCTACCCTTCACCACTTACCACATCCTTCACCACCATTCCTTCCTGTCACCTTCTCTACTCTTGACTACTGTCTTCATCATTTAATAAACTACATGCCAAGCTTGTGAGAGTTTTTGAAGTTGGAATAAAATGAAATTGGTATAAGGAATTGAGCTCGGAAAATTTCTAAGGATTTTCTTTATTCTTTAACCTTTATTCCTGTCGTGATATTCAATTAGGTCGCCTGAGGAAGGACTTGCTTAGCTAACACACCAGTGTAGTAAGCAGCTCATTCCTCACTTTGTGACCATGTATGAACAATTGACTAGGCGCGAGCAAACGCCGAGACCCCAATGAAAATTGAAATCCCCTCCACTTGGGTGACGACCTTCGCCATTCGCTGAAGCGAATCTAGCAAGTAGGTCAAGGGCTCTCACAACAATAATTTATTGTTGTGTGGTGCCGTATATTTGATCCAAAGCTCAGAATCAGTCTCAATTTTATTAGTCGAGTGTGAAGAACACTTGCATAACAATAATAATGTGTGGAGTGTAATGAAAAGACAGTGATAACCATAACAATTTAGTTTATTCAATAAAGTACTAACTACTACAACAAAACAAAAAGAAATGTCAATGACGTTACTCGAAATCCTTCCTGTGACACTATCAATGACAGCTAGACACCAGCCCCTCGGACTGCATAATGAACTAACTCGAACATAAGCGTGACCACAGAGGAATCAACAAAAGACAAGAACTAACATATCTAGAATCACAATTACAACAAATGACACAGTAGGTTCTGAGACACGTCTCCAGTTGTCGGAAAATCCGACACCATTTAATATACAGACAGATAATAAGTGCTGCTGTATTACCAACAAGTTACCCATAGAAAACGTAACTTGTAGTGGAATTACCGTCTATAGAAAACGGGATATCATCACCACATACTATTATATTCTCCACCTATTATGGTGGGAATCATTCTTAAATACATTAGTCTTTGGACTTTACCATCATAAAAACATCTTATATAAATTAACTTAATTATCAATATTAAAGTAGAGTAAATGTGACCCTTCTATCACTTTCTGAAATGTGGACAATGTAAGCCAGGCGTGGGGGTGAGGAAGGAGGGCAGCCATTGTTATTGTTTATACTAGACCAGAGGCTCACACGGGAGCAAATTCGGCTCCTGTTAAATTTACTTGGACGTAGTGTTATGGAAACCAAAGGTGTACCATTGTCAACACGCTGTCTACAAATTCAAGTTAAGTGTCTATCCGAAACCCGTTTATCATTCATTTATGGCCATTAATGTCAGGATATAGGGTGACCCGGTTAGATCACGTGGAAGCCTCAAACTAAAGGTAATTAAGCCAGGTCTTCATGTTCCATGTACAGTTTTCTCTGAAATACTTGGCATATATAGGATTCTGGCTTCACAGCTAGCGCACTTTTGACAGGTCAAGACGAGGATGGAAGATTTGTGCACCAGTTACTGGGTGATGGAAGCTACCTCAAAGAGGATAATTTGGTGTCTACACCCTAGTTATACCTGGTGGACTAACCTGCTGTACTATAAGATAAGGAACCTCTTCAATGTTTAATAGTATGTAGTCTATTACTGTAGTTTGATTGGCTGCATATATATTAATTTAATAACCCCCCCTAATGTGTAGAGGATCGATTTGTGAGATTATGACATTATTGCAGAAATACAGTCCACTTATCATTATACAAATTGCTATCGAAGTATATAAATTAACGTAAATATAAATTCATATAATTTAAATAAATATAAATCTCACAGGTCGGTTCCCACACCAGTAACCTCCTAACTGTTCTACGCCTCAGTGCAGTCTACACCTGCAATAGCGGTTGCAATGCAATCAAATCAGTAGTCTTCCAATGACAACAATAACTAATGGGTGCACTGGCAACTCCAGCAACCCTTCCTCAAATTAATCCTTACGTTAACACTCCGTCCCACGGACGATCAACAATCAATAACAATTGATTTACGTTAATAACACAATAACATTTACATTAATAACAAGGTAACATTTACGTTAAATTGATAACTCTTACAACAGTCACTAGTAACGCGGAAATTACGCAACACTCTACCCGTCGAGCATTCAGTGAGAAAATCCCATTAATCCCTGTACTACCAGACAGCTGATTAATCTCTTTACTTGTTACGTTAATTTACGCTAATCGGTTACTAATCACTCAGCGATGGTAAACTCTGATTTACAATGTCCAAAGTGCTAAGAGAACGGTAATCACTCGTGATTACCTTTAGAGTAATTAATTACTATCCTCAAGATCAATAATTAAACAATTAAAATACGCAACCTTTCACACTGGCTCAGCAATTTACATTAAGGTATGAATTCCGTCTAAGCCTTCCATACTCAGACCAATTCAGGTGGCTAATAACAGTAATTAGCCCCACGTTTACGTTATTCTAAAATGTTACTCCTCCCACGAGTCAATCAAGTGCCGGTACTTCCGGGCAGATAAATAACGACGTTACGTTAATGGAACAATGTAGCCTTCGTGTGAGTCGATCAAACAAGGACCGAGGTTAATTACTTTGACTTCCTGAAACACGTCAATTACCCGGCCCACTGACCGTTAACTACGACAGACAATACTCTAATTCTTATCTGGCTGATAGCTAGGCTCCTCGAGACTACCGTAGCTGCTTGCAGGAAAGTAAATTAACCCAAACGTATTCTACGTTACTCAAATTGTCAAAGAACAAATTCTCTTAAAGCAATAAGCGTTCCCTTGGTTACGTTATATTAATTGCCTCGCAATCAC